ACCATTATATGTTAATTTTTTATTAAAAAATATTTATATAATAAATAAAATTTTAACATCAAATATTAAAAAATAAATAATTTATCTTTATATTTTTATAAAAAACTTTCTTTTACCCACTTATTTAAGATACAAATTTGGGGATTATGCCTTTGTTTTGTGCGGAAAAAGAAGTTGATGGCAAAGACTGAAGCCTCGTGGAAAGGAAAAAAGGCGAGGAAGAAAACTCTGTAACGTTAGCCAGGGAAGAGAAATTAATGCTGCTGAATATAATATTGATTGATTATTATAACATTTTTTAGAAATTTTAAAAGACTCAAAAGCACTCTTCAGACAAATTTAAGACAGCTTCAACCCTGCTTCTTCGACAAGCATCAGTGTCGTATGAACTGAAGAAATTTGAAATGGCAAAAGGTGCAGATCAGCCCCTGAACTCAACAACTGGTGGCAAATCACCCCCTCAACCCACTTCACGCGCAAATCACCCCCTCAACTCCCCTACAGTGGCAAATCAGCCCTTCTCTTAACATTTCTGTTAACATTTAACATTCCGTTCATCACCCCTCTACTACATTTAACTCAATTTTATAGATTACCACAAAAAGTGTGGGACTGCTCGCCGGAGAACTCGTCAGAGAAATTCCGCTGCAGTGTATTCGCTGAAAGTGACACCCTTTTTGTGGTAATCTATAAAATTAGGATTCGATCCATAGGTTTTGAATCCAATCGTCGGATCATCGAAGGAACCTCTGCCGTATTCTTTGAATGTATCGTTCACGGGGTTAAATGTTTTCCCATAGTTGGCAAAATTCACTTCGTCGGAATGGCATGGCTTGTGTAAGATTGGAAAGTATCATCTCCGGAATTAGCACCGTCTAGGTAGCTGGTGAATTTATCGATTCCTGAATTGGCACCGACGCCATAGGTTTTGAAATTGTTGTGCGGAGTGTTCCCTGAATCACCATATCCTTTAAACGAGTTGTTCGCTGCATTCCCCGACACGCCGTAACTCGTAAAATCCGACCTGATATTGTTGGCGTCATTGCTGTAGCTGTTGAACTGGGACGAAACTGCATTGCCGTTCTTTCCGTAGCTTGTGAACGCTTCAGCGCCTGCATTTGCCTCCTCGGTATAGCTTGAAAATGAAAGCTTATGAGAATTAGCGTCGGAATCATACAAGATAAATCCAAGATTCGGCACATTAACTCGTCCGTTGTAGGATGTGAAATCCCCAGAGCCACCTGTGGCGCCGGAGCCGTAATTGGTGAAGTTATCAGTAGCAAAATTGACATCTTTGGCGTAACCTTTGAACTCTTCTGTGTGTGCGACTGAGTCTCCACTATATTCATTGAAGGAATTAGCAGCCGCGTTTAACCCATCGGAGTAGTTCTTGAACAACCCAACTCCTCCGATTCTAGAGGAACCGTACCCAGAAAAGCTTTTACCGGAATATAGTGCAAAGTTTGGATCTTGGCCGGGTTTGGAGTTGTCCAAAGAATAGAGGAGGTTGGCTGAGGAGCAGAAGGAGCCCGAGTTTGAAGAGAGATTGTTCTGAGCGGCAATTCTGGTGAACTTGGCCAATTCCATGGCATTTAAAGGGGAGGCCTTGGAGAGAAGAAACGGTGGCGGGGGAAGGTTCCCGGAGACGTGGGCCTTCCAGTATCGGATCACAGATGCTCTGGCACTGAGTGGGTTCTCTGCAACTTTGGTCATGATTCCTGCAGAAAAAACTTGCAAAAACTGGAGAATATTATGTTCTAAGAAACAAGTAAAGAGAAAAAAAACAGTATGTAAATGATAGTTCTTCGTTCTTACATTGACAGATGACAAGGATAGATACAAGAAGAGGAAGAAAAGGACAGCCATGTTTGTTTGTTATCTGAGAAAATTCTCTAGGGAAATGAAAATGAAGAGGAGAAAATCCTCTAGAATGCAGTAGAGGGGTGATGAACGGAATGTTAAATGTTAACGGAAATGTTAAGAGAAGGGCTGATTTGCCACTGCAGGGGAGTTGAGGGGTTGATTTGCGCGTGAAGTGGGTTGAGGGGGTGATTTGCCACCAATTGTTGAGTTCAGGGGCTGATCTGCACCTTTTGCCATTTGAAATTTGATTTTAAGTCCGCACTTACGGCGGCGCCATTATTTCGTCCGGTAAAAGTAAAAGTAAAACTAGCATCAATTTACCACCCTTCCAAGTTAGTATTCAAAAATTATAAATTAAAAAAAAGTCTACAAATTTAGCTAGGCGTGGTTGTGTAGAATTGTAAAACTAGCATTTACCAACTTTAACCCAGTCAGCAATTTGTTAGTGGAAACTAATAAATTTTTTTTTTTTTTAACACGATTACCTTAAAAGTTTGAAAGGATAATAATAGTATTGTCTGAGGTAAAAAGGGTCACAACAGCCACACAAAATTAGCAAATTTGTTTAATTTATCTAATTTTATTCATTCATTAAATAATATTAATTTATAAATTAATTTTAAATTATTAAATAATAAATATTAATTATT